CCGGGCATGGGACCACCTTGTCCTAAGTCGTAGACTTGTCTTGGGTTGAGCAGATACTGAAACTTTGATATTAGCCTGCCAGAGGCACAAGCACAAACACAGACACGCATGCGCGCACACACACACACACACACACACACACACAAATGCACCCTCACACACACACACACACACACACACACACACACACACACACACACACACACACACACACACACACACACCCTCACACACACACACCACACATGTTATACAGTTGACTCCGGATATAACGAACATCATTGTAAAGGAGAAAGAGTTCCTTGAAGCCGAAGTTCGTTACAACAGAACTGCACTTACACGAGTGCTACACTGTGCAAGCAGCAAGTCATGACTGGCATATGGACCATGACTGTATGAGTGCACTTGGTTAACAAACGACCCTTCAAGATACGGTTCATTATAAAAGAAAACTGTTTGCTACAAAGGGTTGATTTCGTATGGGTTCAAACAGGGACATGGACAACGGTTTGCTACATCACGAAATTCGCTATGTGCGAGTTTGTTACTAGTGGAGTCAACACCTTACTGATATTCCATTCTCAACGAGCCACACGCACACACATGCATACATACACTTCCACGCACACACATGCACACAATACACTTCCATGCATACAGGCAGGCAATGTACAAGAGTGACAAAGGATATAGAACATACAGACTGAATGACATCTTCTCTCATCATTCACCACTGTGACCATGCATCTCGCTCCCAATCATTTCTTAGTAGCTAGGCAAGCAGACATCAATTTTCTTTTCGCAGAACCATACCCACATCATTGTACAGTTGAACCTGACAATTACGGACACCCAGTCCAATCATTTAGCCATGGTCGCTTACCGCGTGCCCTGCTTGCCCCCGCTCTTCGGATTGAGAAATACAATGAGCGGATGTGTTCCACGCAGTGGCGATACCTAGCAATGCACATCAACACAGACAGCAGTACCGGTGGTCAGCGTGTGTATGCCTTCAACTGACATGTCAGCCATGGTGACCTGCCATTCTAGCAACATGTGTTCAGCCATAGACATGGGCGGGAGATCAGGTCATGCTGAATAGTATGCCAAGGCATTGCAAACAAGGGGAATGGCTTGCACGTTAACCTAACAACCGGGACAAGCATGATCTACTGTTTGATCCGGGGATGGGGGAAACCCCTAATCCAAATATTACCCCTTCTTGCATTGCATCATAGCCTCTCTTATTGATCTGAATGCCCTATGCAGGCCAGACGCTGGGTAGCACACTTGACACAGGCTCCCTACACATGATCTTACTGTCATGTCCAGGCTTTCAAAGGAGAACTTGGACTTGGATGAGTCAGTTACTGTAGGTACAGCCGCCGCCGCCGTCGCCGCAGTGCTATGGTGACTGGTGCTTGACTGCAGAAGTGAGAGCAGGTAGAACAACAGGGAGGGCTAAGACACGCTCGAAATTGAATTTTTTTCAGTGGAGCCTGAACGCATCCAACGCCCCCTACACTCAGGGCGGCCCGGGCATGGCCGCAACAGAGAGCAGAAGCGGAACTCTGCCAAAGCAGTGCCAACGACACACACGCGCACGCACACATGCACATGCCCACACACGCACACGCACACATCACGACTGCTCGGCAGTAAAGCAAGCGACGCGTCTGACGGCCGGCGCACGCACTCGGGCAGTGAGAATACTAGCAGCACTTTCTGCCACAAGCATGCCTGTCTGAACTGTGACAGTGACTCACATGCAGTACTCATACATCCCAGGTTGGTCAATGTGCAACGGGCTTATTGGCCATACAAGTATAATGTACATGCGGGTACTGCTCAGAAAGAGCTCAGAAAGAGCAGTACCCGCATGCAGTAGTAGAACACTGCGAGTGGTCTCACTTACCAGAACAGAGGGAAATATGCTGACCGGCGGCAGGATGTGCACTCGATTTTCACCAAGGTCACACTCGTCTGGTGCTTGCGATGCGCACGTGTTGTGATACTGATGCCATGGATACGTGGTGGACAAACACACACGTGCACACCCAGGCACGCACGTGAATACATATACATGCAAACCCACACATGCACATGCACGCATGCACGTGCACACACAAACAAGTCCGCACATGCGTACACCCACACATGCCCGCCCGCCCACACCCACCCACACACATGCATACATACAATGTTAACATGCACTCCCACATCCAAGCCTGTTCTGATACTGTGATCGAGGAACTACCAACCTTTGTTTGGGATTAACATGGGTACACTAGTCGCACACATCTAAGAATTGATCCCAGCGATTGATTTTTAGGACAGCTTTTCAAGGCCTTATTGGCCCCGGGGCAATAACCCTTTAGGGCCCACAATTATTTCAAGAAATGCACTGCATACGCGAGCCCGGGTACTTATCATCTGGTCGTAACTTTGGTGTCCTTTGGCCGATTTTGGTGATCTTGGGCTTCCTGGAAAGCTCTTGGCCAGAGGAACACAGCGATAGCCAGCAATACATCACTCGATCCACAGAACCAGCGCCGCAGCGCGATACGGCGCTCCAAAGCCAGCATTGCGAGCGCCCAACTCAAATTCCCTGCCATTTCAACAAATTGCATCGCAGATTGCTCAAATTTTTTTACTGGAGAGCTGAGAAACATGCCTTTGCGATGACGTGAACTATCTGTAGCTGCGTGGGCCGCGAGTCAGGGAAACCCCCTAAAAACGAGTTCAAAATGCACGTGCTCGAGTTGACTCTGCTGAGCGAATTTAGTTCGAGTCTCGTATCTCCGCTCTCCGAACTCGGATCGCTTTCGGGTTTTTTCGAGCCGATAGCTGAGACAATTCTAATGTCGATAGCCCTTTCGATTGTCCGATTTGGTCAAGGGGCGGCCGAGTTACGCCAGGTTGCGCTTTGAAAAGTATGCACTGTACACTGGTACGGATATATCCGTACTATGGGCCTCAAAGGGTTAACCCCTTGGCTGCACTACACCAATTTTGACCGGCAAGCTACACATGTATGGGTGTTTGGAGAAGGTAACAGGAGGGTTTGAGAACAAAGTTGACCCGGAAGTGACCTTGTCATGTTTTGACAGGCTGTGGTTTAACCCTGTCAATTGTGGTTTGACCTTGATTACTTTACCGTGACATCCGTCAAACAGTGTTACCAGATCACGTGTAACACCCGTGTATTGCGATGTACCGGTGTTACCATAACTTTTGAGGAAAGTGTGACGGTAACTTTGAAAAGTGTGACGTGACGTAACTTTGAAAAGTGTGACGGTGACGTAACTTTGAAAAAGTGTTTGTTATGCTGTTACAATTTTTTTTGGAAACGTTCCCCAAAACTTTCATCCGTGATGGTGTAGAGAAGGGCCTCCAGACGAGGCAAAAGGGTAGGGGGCGTACGTATCCGGATCTTGCACCAGGCGCAATTTTCTTCTATCCGGATAGCACGATATCCGTATTCATTTGTGATGGTATAGCCCGTAAAGGGAAATACTCCCAGGTAACCATTGAGTTACCAGTGGAGCTAGTGGATGTAGTGAAGACAGCGATAAAGGTATCACCATCGATTCGTCGTGCAATTGTGTCGGAGCGGGTTAACCCTTTCACTGCCGCTGTCGACTGCAGTCGACAGCGCATTCATGCACTCCGAGTGCCATTGTCGACTTGCGTCGACGAGTAAACATGCAGTCCCCAGTGCTGTTGTCGACTTCCGTCGACAGGCAGACCTCACCCAGTTCGTGCCTCTATTTTCGAATATTGGAGGTGTTTTGCCGTGGTAGACGGCCACTGGGCCCTGGAAGATGTCCATACCCATCGAAATACGCTTCCAGAAGTATGGGTTGCCATTTGAAAAAAATCGAACCAGCGTCGTTGAAAATGCGCATCCGATTTTTAGCCGATCGGCGAGGAAGAAACCGGTTCTCACGCACTTCCACCTCGCTGAGTCGGTGCGAGTATTTTCCTCTTTCCCGTCAACTTTCATTGCACGGAGCATGGATATTGGTTCAGACTTGATGCCTAGCTATTACCCAAGACTCCAGGCGGCTATCCGTTGCGATAGGCGGTTGGAGTCACGGGTAGAGACAACCAGACGATAGATTCCTCGCGGACGCATTCACTGCAAACTTGACGGAAACAGCGCTGGCGGCGGTCACCGGGTCCAGAACTAAAATTTTCTAAGAACTACCACGTTACAATGGCGACCAGCACGGTCAAGAGACACTACAGGTATGTCAGCTACAACATAATTATATTCTTTCTACAACGACACCTACCTCTGGCTCAAAACCTGACGATCTACTACAAGCTGATGCGAAAGTGAATTACACTCGCGAACGCTTGTCAACGGAACAGGGAAGCGCTTCACTCTCCGAAGTTGAAAAGTATTTGGACTGCTGCTAATGGGGAGAACAAACGACCACCATGGCGGCAGAACATTCCGCAGCCGTTCACCGACACGATCCGCTTCACCAAACGACTTACGAACGTTTCGTTCTCCGAGTTTTCTGGTGGCAGCAACAAGAATTTCGTCCGCAACGACAGGACGAAAGTCTCTCGCAACTGAAGTCCTGTTGCCACGAAGATAGAGAAGATTCCGCAAGCCATCTCTTCTGCTTCCAGTGTTATAGCTCTCCTGTCCACTGGCATATCGTTCAATCCCAGCGAACGAAAAAAAGGATCTGCTTCTCTCTCCAAAACAACTAACTAACTTTACTTCGCGAGTGTCCGGGCCGATCGTGTACATAGTTAGCCAGTGCAGGCTAAATTTTATTTTTCAAGGAAACCCTTCGAAAATGGTACCAATCGATTCAGCATGGCATTTTCATTCCTCCTGCAAAGTTTCAGCTGATTTGGAGTCATGACAAGGACGCTATGGCGATTTGAAGATCGAAAAGCTTCAGTTTTGTTTGTCAAGAAGAAAGGCCATGATCGCACACAAATCATACAACCCGTGTGGCACAATGATTTTTGAACGAAGTTGATCCGCCACGGCTGTCAAGAAGCGGCAACTTAGAAAGATGGCGTCGGTTCGAGATGGCATGGTAACCACGCACGTGCCGTGGTCCGTGACTTGCTCATGTATGCACGCAAATGCAAGTCACAAACTGACAAAGATCGTCTTTGCATTTGGAGAAAATATCTTCGACTCTCTTTGGAGGTTGGCGAGGTTTGCCTAATCTTTACTCGATTGCGATGCCGGTATGTCCTCTCAATAATTAGAACAAAGAGAGCTGATGATCGCTTCAATGCTGAGCAGAAGTAACAATCAACTCTCCTCATGTCCTCAGTGCCAAAGGCAGACGACTGCAATTCCACAACGCTCATTTCACGATGATGGAAACAATAATCGAGTACTAGTACACACTTGGACCATTTGGTCATCCCTATTCTAGCCGCTAGTCCGCCCAGCAACCAGATATTGACTATTACGATAAGTACAACTGCGTGAACGAGGGCTCACCCAGCAAATTCAATTCAAGACGTGACTCCAGTCAAGAATTAGGGTCTTTACTCGAGAACTTCACAAATACAGGTCAAGGCACCCCACAAAACTGATAGATGGCACAAACGAAAGACAAATAGGCTAGGCAAAGTGTCCCAAGTGATTGAAAACAGCAGATCTACCAAATAAGACAGCTACATGTGCCTAAACATCGATTCCCATACAGTAGAGAGTAGTATCAGGCAGAATGAAAGCCTTGGAAGTGCACAAATACAGCCACGACCGCCACAAAAATTGGACGACCGCCACAAAAAAATTCTCATTGCTCTACCTCCTTGAAGGGTGAAAGTTACCAGTTATCCTATAGCGATGTCAGTTTATGCCTGTTGGAACCCCCCACAGCCCGCACGAAATACCTTTCAAATAATTCCAGGATGCAATTGCATTTCCAGACAGGAGGAAGAAGAACACCGTGAAAAATAACGGCAACGATGCCCAAACTCTCGGTAAACGGCTGAAGTCTTCCTGAAGATGTTAACATTGAATAGCCATCGATTACCAGCGTGGTTTGGTGACTTTAGAACTTTTTTGAGACTTAGAACGAAGCGATATCTCAAGTTTGATGGAATTGTTACCTGTCAAATGCGTGGGCGAGCAGGCCAGCTGACTGGTTATGCATGAACATGCATGAGCATGCATTGATTTTTCATGGTTCACGTGCAGAAAACTAAGTTGCCGCGATCCAAGTGCAGCTAACAGCCGTGCCGCGGACCCCGTGCTTCGCGCATGCACGCATGCATACTGCACAGTTCAGAGGCTTTTTTGAACGCAGATATGTAGTTCTTCGTCTTCTTCGAAATGTCTTCCAAATGCGTGGTGCTGGTGTTGTTCTCAGCTTCATCAAGGCAGAATGCAGCTGCATGTGATGCTCCTGTGTGTTCATGCATGGTCTCTTTTCGCGTCTCGACATTGTAGCGTCCAGACTCAGCTCGACTAGGAGAAGATTGAGGAGACTATGCTTTGATCCACATGGAAAATCGATGAAATTTGGTAATTATCGTCGGGCGCTAAAAAGCGCTGGGGAGCATGGGGCTAAAACTTCGTAGCAGTCATCCCTACCATGACAGGCATCGACTGGTATATGTTCCATTCTGTTCCCAACCACTACGGGTCGTCTGCGAAGCTTTCTTCTTCGCCGATTCTCGGACAGATCGTACGTCTTCGCACTGTATCTCTCGTCTCCCTCAACGGATCAAAACACGGTTTTCGCCAGGACGAGCACAAACCCCCAGATTTCGCGGCGGCAACAACTTCGAGTAGGGAAAAGCTAGCAGCTAACCAGGAATCACCAAAAAACACGTGTAATACTCAGTGTGATTTGCGACAGCTGTCATTGTGCCGTCGCACCATGCATGTACCATGCACGGGAATGGAACACGGATGAGTCGTTTTATTACGACAGCCTGCACTGGCTAACATAGTGTATGTAGCGCATGCGGCGCACGGCGCACTTTCGCATGACATGACACGCATTTTTGTACAGCGGCTGGCGCTAGATCGCGCAGCACGTTTGTACTTCGGATTTTGCGATTTTTTCAACGGCAATGGCTTCCTTTATGAGTTGTCTACCTACGATGTATACTTTGGGAAGCGATATTCCGTACAGAAAGTACCAAAAAATCCAGGAAAAGTAGGCCTTTCGATTTTTCGAGCTGGAGGTAAAAAGTGCCTGGCAGGGAGGGGGTGTACAGCTCAGCTGACAGCCTGGCAGGGAACGCCTTGTCACCTTGAGTGGTCAGCTGGCAGTGAAAGAATTAAGAAGTTGTCCACAAACTTCTTCCCAACCAAGCTATCCTCTCCCGTCGCCGGTGGGAAGAAGGTCGGCGGTGATATATATGTGAAGACCACATCGACTCTCTCCGCTGAAGATTTCACAATGAACAAGGTCCAGCAGTACGCCATATTCGTGTTGGCTGTGTCCGGTGGATAAAATCGCAAAGACTGGAGCGACGATGAGGACCATGAAAGAAGGAGATGGCGAATCCTACGTTATTGCCAATGCAGAGCTCTCTAGCAACTGCTCAACATCTAGACATGTTTTCGTCAATGTTCCCCAAAACTTTCATCCGTGATGGTGTAGAGAAGGGCCTCCAGACGAGGCACAAGGGTAGGGGGCGTACGTATCCGGATCTTGCACCAGGCGCGACTTTCTTCTATCCGGATAGCACGATATCCGTATTCATTTGTGATGGTATAGCCCGTAAAGGGAAATACTCCCAGGTAACCATTGAGTTACCAGTGGAGCTAGTGGATGTAGTGAAGACAGCGATAAAGGTACCACTGTAGTATCCCTGGCCCTACTGCTATTACTTACATACGTTGTGACCTACATTGACGTCGTACATACATGTATTCATGCTAGCACGCGACACTGTAAATCACCTCTTGTCCCACCGGTTACTCCTAAGTGCTTCTCCCAACAACCACTTTAATACTTTGAAGTAGGACTACTAGACAACCCTGCCTGCAGACCGGTACGGCATGACCTGTATACATGTTGCACACATTCATGCTGTACTACATTACATTGATTCCTATAGCCCGTTCCTCATCACTAACTCTTTTGATTACTAGTTCTAAGATATCTTCCGCTTCTCTTCTTCTGCCAGATGTCTTCCCAGAATCCATGTCCTAGCTCGCACACAGTCAAATGGCTTTTCCAACCGCTGTCCTCTTAGTAACCTTCACGCCCAATTACCCTGCCTGCCATTCACATTAGTTTCCTTCATACTGTTAGATTGCATTCCTGTTACCTAATGGTTGCTCGCTACTTAGGTCCATTCTTCCTCCTACCTTTTCCTTTCACGTTATCTCCTTGTACGTCTTCTCCTTGCACTACTATTTCTCCCCTTGCCATGTATATGCTGTCTATGCTATATAAGCCCTATCTGCTCTACCAGAGATAGAATTAGCTCATATCAGAGAAGAGAATCCCTCCTGGCAGATTGAGCCGGAGCAGTTGTATTCCTTTCAGTGTCCCTCCAGGCAGATTGAGCCGGAGCAGTTGTATACATAACTTCAGGCAGATTGAGCCGAAGAACATAATATTAACCAGTCTTCTTGTGTGTGCCTCCTGATACCACTCGGCGACCTATTTTACACTGGTGGCAGCGGTGGTTTAAAGTAACAGTTTATTTAGATTTGAACCCATCGATAGTTCACTCTTCCACTTATTCATCCTTCTCCGACTATGGCTCAACCCGCCGCTGCACCTGCCGCCGCCGCCGCTCCAGCACCCGTTCCCGCACGCCACGTGCATAATTGGGCCACACCGGCGAAGTATGCAGGTCGACTGGAAGATAACTGGGCAGCCTGGTATGCCCAGTTCCAGCAGGTTTCCGCGGTCAACCAGTGGACACCGGCGGAACAGAGCCAGTTTCTAGGCCTGTCGCTTACGGGCGACGCACAATTATATTACCAAAGTCTACCGCAGGCGGTTCGTGCGGGCCAAATTGCTCCGCTCGCCCAAGCTCTCGCCGACCGGTTTGCCCCTGCACAGCGCGCGGAGCTGCACCGCGCAGCGCTGAAAGCCAGCCGCCAAAGAAAGGGCCAAACATTGAGTGCCTTCTGCGAGGAAGTAAGGTCGACCACCAGTCGCGCATACCCAACATGGCTGGGGCCGATAGGGACCTGCTCGCCCGGGATCAGTTTTTAGACGGCCTAGACTCCCGGGCAACCCGCATCCGGGTAAAGGAACTGCACCCTGCTACTTTGGATGCCGCACTTCAGGGAGCACTACACCAACAGGCCATAATGCATGCCGAAGCACCGGAGTCTACCCCGCTTCCCGTCTGTGGCCTGTCGGACGCTAAACAGATGGATCATATCGCCAAAGCGCTCGAGGACATCGGCGCCCGACTGGCCCGCCTGGAACGAGCGGACGCCGCCACACCGGATCAACCACGGCACACATCTCAACACGGTACTCCGAGGAAACGAGGCAACTGTTACAATTGTGGACGCATGGGCCACTTTGCCTCTGAGTGCCGCCAACCGCGCCAATGGCAGGGAAACCAGCGTTCACAGCGGTCCTGAGTCCGTCGGCTGTGAATACTTTGCTATGGACTCACCATCCGGTTAGTTTACCTTTAGGAGCTTATCTGCTCATCCTCTTTCTCGTTCTACTTGGGCTTTCCCCTGCTTTGGATGTTGTCCGCCGTCTAGCTATGTTGGGATGTGTGTTGGTCCTGATTCTTGCGGTTATCTATCTCCTGTACCTGACACCGCCATTTAATGTTCTCAAATCCCGAGTTACTACATTCCTTTCACGCTCCTCAGCACGCCGTCCCTTCACAGTCCCGATCACCATTCAGTCCATTCCATTTAATGCCCTCCTAGATACCGGATCTGCGGTTACCTTAGATCGATTCGTCGTGCAATTGTGTCGGAGCGGGTTAAGAAGTTGTCCACAAACTTCTTCCCAACCAAGCTATCCTCTCCCGTCGCCGGTGGGAAGAAGGTCGGCGTTGATATATATGTGAAGACCACATCGACTCTCTCCGCTGAAGATTTCACAATGAACAAGGTCCAGCAGTACGCCATATTCGTGTCGGCTGTGTCCGGTGGATAACATCGCAAAGACTGGAGCGACGATGAGGACCATGGAAGGAGATGGGGAATCCTACGTTATCGCCGATGCAGAGCTCTGCAAGTTGGCAGAGGGCTTCGCTGAAAAGTGGAACTCTACAACAGCATCCGACGACGATGAAGACGGTACTGAACATTGCTCGCATTTGGCCCCCAACAGGAGCTCGCATCACCACGACAACCCTAAGATCTGTCTTCATGCCATCTCGCCTGGGATCTTGTATCTGGAACCGGGACATTCGTCATCACATCATCATCAAGACAGCCTGCCCTGGTTCATCCGCACAGCAGTGGATTGACGCCCGCACGCGCAAAAGGCACTGGATCCTCATTCTCCAGTGAACGTGTACGCACCACAGGATGTAGTTCGCTCAGAACAAGACCTGCTGCTGTTTCTCGTAGTGCACCAACCTCAGCACCGGTAGACCTGATAGACTTGAACTGATCACAAAACAAATGATGAGCCAGAATTTGCTGCCAGAATTTCGGTCTGCCAAGAGAGCTCAGCTCCGCACCAGGCGCTGTCAACTGACGGAAACGCTGCAATCTATTGTGGACGATATCTACATCATTGCCTGTCGGGCTTACCCCGACGCAACGGACGACTTCATCTATCATACAATCACACACCACTACCCACAATGGTCTCCCGGCTACAAGTCTCGGCTACTGGAAGAATAGTAGCGGAGAGCCAGTTTTGAGTAATGGTGCATGATCGGTGCAAAATCTCCTAGCACCTCCTTATGATTTACACTGCAAGATGATAATTTGAAAGGTTGTACATGCACCAATGGGTCATTGTCCACTGCTCTGGGCTGCAAGCTTACCAGTCCGTGGCACCAGGAGCACTTCACACCGGTCAGGCCGTTGACTGCCTTGACTGCTTTACCGCACTTCTCGCATTTGCCCGGGTTGTTGCCTTCAGTCCAGTGATGATCCATAACCTGGATAAGTACAGAAAGCATGATCACATGATCACATGATCACATCACGCCCCAATACAATGGACAGTAAACCCTGTCAAGGCAACCACTCAGATAAGGCAACCACTCAGATAAGGCAACCACTCGGATAAGGCAACCACTCGGATAAGGCAACCACCTGTCCTGGAAGACCTCTGAAACCAGGACCAAGGAACCCTATTTCCAGTCAAATGACCCTGGAAAAGGAGACCACCTGGTACCAGGGACCACGTTTTCAAGGTCCCTTGAGCGGTCGTCTTGGACAGGTTTCACTGTACCCTTACGAACCACTGCATGCAATTTTTATTTTATTCTACATGTATCTATTTATTCTATTTCACTCAACGTGACACGTGGTCCATGACCAATTGGAACACATAGTGCAAGAGAGGTGATAGCCAACCATGGCAAGAAAAAAAGGAGGGACAAAGGGAAAGGATGGAAGTTTCAACAGAGTGCATGGCCGTTTGCTGCACAGTTCCCATCAATGCCACATGATGAACAGAATGCAGAAGCCAAGTTTATCACCCTGGCTACCTAATTCTGCGGCAATGCAAGCCACACACACACACACAGCGTGACAATAATGCATTGCTGTGCTCTCCTTACGGGGTTTTTCTTGGCACTCTTCATATAGGTGCTGAGGCATGCCTCCTTGACGCTGCCCACGCATCTCTCATGGACAGTGTAGTGACAGACTGGACAGAACAGAGGTACAATAGGTACAATAGGTACAATCATGAACGTACACACTACATGCAGCTACTGCGTTGTGAACTACAGGCTAATCGGGTGATACACATTCTCGTGAGCCAGTTTGGGCAACATTTTGCCACAGACAGTTACCGCAGAAATGGACATAGTGTCCCTTCCGACGCCTCTGCTGTGATGCTTTCCCTTCAGAGATAACCTCATTTTTGTGTGAATTGTTCAGCTCTTACGACACTTTAACGGAATGCTATGTGTACATATCAGGGCAGACTCGCTAAAGGGTTAAAATGCCAGGTGAAAAAAAGAAGCAAAATACTGACAACTCACAGCTGCAGACAAGACCCTGCTTGCCCAGACCTAGAAGCATACGCCGGCAGATGTTGCAATACGCTGGATGACTGAAGTGCTTCAGATGCCACTGGTGGATACCATCCTTCATTTTCTGCACACCAGGAGAACGGGCAAAATACGTAGTCAGTTCGCCTCTGGACAATGGGCAATGGCTTAGAGCGGCTTTGTGCATGTGAGTGTATGTGTGTGTGTGTGTGTACGTGTGTTTATGTGTGTGTGGTGTGTGCATATATGTGTGCTCGTCTGCTCGTTTAACTCATTTTGCGTGAAACAAGCACTGGACTCACTTGTGAGGTCTGCATTCGCCACTTAGGTGAAAAAGGCATAGTGGTGGCCTGCGGAAGCGAAGGCTATAGCTTTTGTGTTTCTGAACATTCAAGTGATACTAACGCGAATCCAGCGAATATTATTATATTATAATATGCTCGTTTCACTCATTTTGCGTGAAACAAGCACTGGAGCCCAGTTCCAAATCTGCACTCATCTCAGAGCTTACGTGGATTTTTGCAAAACGTGTATCGTCAAAAACTGGGGATCCACTAGTACTGTACCGTTTCCAATCCTAGCAGGACCAGCAATGGAACGGTGTGCAGACCGCCCTCAATCCATTCCTCCAGGCTGATGCGACCATCGGAGTCACTGTCAATGTCCTGAAGCATATCGATCAGAATCTGGAGAAGAAGGAAAGGAAGTGATGATGGTTATAGACTGACGCAGAGAAGTGCTCCCCACAGTGGCAGTGCCACCCAACGGGACCTGATCTCGTGAATGGGCTAACACCCTGCTCTGGTGCACAGCCCAGTGTGTGTAAGCAGGTCTGACACAGTACACTATCTGTATAATTATGCTAGTTGGCTCACACAATCGCATTGCATTGAGCAGCATGGTAGACTTAAGTCCACGATAGGGTTCAAATCCACACACGATCAGCTACACAAGACAAAACTGTCCCGATGCTTGACTGATGCCGTTATGACATACCTAACAGACATAAGGATCTGCCCTGATCCTTGTGGGTGTTGGCGCTCCTATGGATGTGGAACCGTGAATTTCTTTCTGACATACTGGTGCATGGGAGTTCCAATCAGCATTCACAGTGTGTTTGAAAAACACAGGAGGCTAATGTGTATCATTGGTCCGACACACGATTCTCTATTTTGGAAGGCCCTAAAACCAGCCACTTTGCACTCACACTCATGGTCCCACTGTCTCCCAGTAACATACATCATCACTGCAACCCGACACACCGTATACATGCAAGTACAATTAGGAAAAATCAGATGAACGGTGCATCGTAGCCTTCTGAGATTGATGCCATTCTATTTAGGAGTCGTCCACAAATATCGATGTTTTTTTAGCCCCATCCCTCACACAAACAAGTCAACAAAGAGGCATCTTTGGATTGAGGAGTGCTGGTTTCGAAACAACTGGTTTGAAGCTCAAAGTAGAGCTGGTGTTAGCTCAGAGCAGAGCTGCTGTTAGCTCAGAGCAGAGCTGCTGTTAGCTCAGAGCAGAGCTGCTGTTAGCTCAAAGTAGAGCTGCGGTTAGCTCAAAGTAGAGCTGCGGTTAGCTCAAAGTAGAGCTGCTGTTAGCTCAAAGTAGAGCTGCGATTAGCTCAAAGTAGAGCTGCGGTTAGCTCAAAGTAGAGCTGCTGTTAGCTCAAAGTAGAGCTGCTGTTAGCTCGAGGTAGAGCTGCTGTTAGCTCAAAGTAGAGCTGCTGTTAGCTCAAAGTAGAGCTGCGGTTAGCTCAAAGTAGAGCTGCTGTTAGCTCAAAGTAGAGCTGCTGTTAGCTCAAAGTAGAGCTGCGGTTAGCTCAAAGTAGAGCTGCTGTTAGCTCAAAGTAGAGCTGCTGTTAGCTCAAAGTAGAGCTGCTGTTAGCTCAACGTAGAGCTGCAATGCTAAATGGATGTAATATAGCGCAAGGCAGAGCCGCAGCAAATAGCTAGATAACACCAGTTGTGAGAGTGGACCCAAAAGAAACACTGCTGAAGCACAATCCGTTGTCTGGAAGAGCACAACAGGGCAAGCAAGATTTGTTTTTCTTTTCCGCAAAATGGGCTGGTGCCATTTGTGATTACGCAGCAAAACAAAGCGCATGACGTCAGTCTTGAATGCAGTACAAAGCAATGCAGTGCAGTGTGTGCGCTAGTTCGGATTGTTGCTAACAAGTACTAGCACAGCTAGTACACCATTAGAGAAGATATTCGTTCGTTTGGGGGGGGGGGGGGGGGGAGGGGGTTTGGGCCCTGTTCGTCTCGTCTTTGAGAAAAAAATATCGAACTCTATCTATGGACGGGCACTGTTCGAACATGTAGTTTATGACCTACACACAGTGAAAGTCAACCTCGTGAGCATAGCCATGGCAAGGTTGTGCGACCGTGGCAACATAAACCTAGGTGTATGGTGAAGTTAGAGTTGCAGCTGGTCACGTTTCATGAGGAAATTGAACTTCATTAAAAAATATCGATCCTTTGCATAAATATGTGTATGTTCGTTTTGAGGGGGGAGAAATTGGGGAGAAATGAACAAATATCGTCTTGAAAAAATATCGACATTTACGGACGGCCCCGTAGCGCCCAAAGATTTACAGATTCCAGAGCATTCGTTTTGGGGAGTTCTCCTTTGGCACAAAAAAACACCCTATTTCTCCTTTGGCTGATCGAAATAAATAACCGCCCCTGGGGTCGGCTCACATGCGGTTGAGTGCAGTCAGAAGACCAATATCTGCCACAAGTGAAACTACCAATACACATGAACGCTGACAGTCGTACTTACAGGTCTCAAATCGGACGTATCCCAGCCTAGGTACTCAGCCACTGTGATCATCTGTTCCAGGATGCGGTGAAGCTCCTGCAGACAAACACCAAACACACACACACACACACACACACACACACACACACACACACACACACACACACACACACACACACACACACACACACAGCTCTCGGCGATGAGCTCCATCTTAGCGACGCAACCGACAACCTTGTGATTGGTTGACAGCATGTTACAAGGCGGAGGACGCACTATCTTCACCATGTTATCTATCAAAGAAGGCTTACATAATTATAACAAACAACAGAATTCCCCCACTTCCCTTCTGCACTGCCGTCTGAATGGGCTCCTTCACTTACCGCACTCTCAATGAATCCGCTGTTGTCGGCATCGTACAGCTTGAACATGACTGTGGACACGGGCAAGGACAAGAAATGAGGTTTGTGAGCTCCAACAAACACACTATTAAACGCTATCTCAGCCAAAAACAAAACGTGTTTATACGTTCAGAAAAAAGGCAAATACAAGAAGGTGAACAGCAGCAGAGCGTGGTGTTAATAGGAGAAGAGGAGAATTGAGTGCAATATGTGCAACATGCCATAGCACCTTAGAGGAGAAGCTCATTGTATTTAGACCACTCCAGGCATGCAGAGATGCAAATATATTTTGTTTGTCATGGGGAGTACCTATTGGTCACCATCTTCAAAGAGCACATCCGCCAGGGGGGGGGGGGGGGGCAAGCTCATCAGAGACGGACATTATGGCACCAAGCCTGATATGTATCCGCTGATTGTGACACATAGGTGGAATGGTCAATGATTCGTAATATTTCGTAGTATCTTTGGCTTAGAGTTCTCGCTGGAATGACTACCAATGTTCGAACACGCACTATTCTACAACCATCCGTGTCGGCCAATTGGTTGAAGAATGGCACTGTTGATCTTCAGGCACCTGCTTAGAAATCTACCTACATCGACCTACAGTACTCCAGCCTACGTTAACACACAGCTTGGCCAAAGCTGAAGAAGTGATCCAAGCACCGCCGACTCCCTATTTCTCATCTTACATACGTTAGTCTCCCTTCAATGCGTGGCCTGGCACCTTCCTTCCATGTACGGGTTACAGCTGGTCAGTTGCTGTGCCATGCAGAGTTATGACGTGAAAAGTCCAATGCTAGTGCCTTGGCGTGGATGCATAATTATACCTACTCTTACAAGAGTACAATAGGTGCACATGGCACTCTAGTCTACATGTGCATCTTAGTGCCAGTTGGCTCAATCGCATTGCTTACATTCAAGCTTAGACTGGGGATTTCCCTGTTCCAGTAGGGACAGATAGCACATGATGTCAGACAAGCAGGCGCGCCGTTCGCCGGCTGCCGCAGACCTGGCCGCGTGGTCCAGGGATGCAGCGCCTCTGGATTGATCATCGGCGTCGGGTGTCGGCTGAGACGACTCTCGCGACCGACCGTCCGTCTCGTCAGCAGCATCTTGACTGTCATCATCTGTGGGCAGGATTCGAAACACCAGCACAGACATACAGACACATACACGCACACACGTACACACACCGGCACAGAGACAAACACAGACAAACACACCGACATCCACTACTCAAAGACACGAGCAAGAACATCTCGGATACGATGTGAATGGCACCGCCATGTATCAGATCTTGGAACACATCGCCATGAGCAGGGCACAAAGAGATTAGTCTCAAGCCAAGCGCAGTGCACACAATAAATGAATACATTCCTTCCAATGAAGACAAGACAAGTCAATGGAAGTTAGTTGCATGTCTCAGGATTCATGACACACTGAAATAATCAAGAGACCTGGGACTAATCGTAACTTAGGAGTTCAAGATTCAGCTACTTCGTCCTAAATAATCTCACCATTTTCGTTATGCCTCTCCTTGCAGTATGCTCCCTTTGTTTCTCTCCTTATTATTTAGTTCGCCGAGGTTGGCTACCACCCGACTTCTCATAACTATTGGCAGTCTTGCGACGAGCCAGGAGATGATGAATAAATATATAAATACAAAAAATGATAAAAGTAAAAAAATTGCAATCACACGTAACCCTTGGCTGCCAAAAAATGAAACAAAGCAAACCTGTTTTTTTGCAAATGAAATCATAGGACATGACTGAAGTACAGCAATGCATGTAAGACAGGCTGTTAACACCGTTATCCTGGTGCCTTATGTGTAATAGACTTCAGAATGTGCAGTGGAAATACACGCATGCACCACACACACACACAAACTTACCAGTCGGCGACACTGCAACGAATAGCGCTCCGGTGGCAGCTGCACTATTTAGAACCGCAGCTGTTGCAGATGCACTCAGAGCAGACGCCTCCGACTCGTTCGAGGCCAGAGATTTCCTGCGAGTTGCCGCCTTCTCTTCGAACTGCTCACGTGTGCCCTGCAGCAAATGATCCTTGTCCGGTGTTGCTGAGCTGACTCTACGATCCGGTGGCGGTGCGTCACGGAACGAATCAAATAAGCTACGGGTCAGGGTGTCGCCCACATCAGCGCTTAGGAACTGATTGAGCAGCTTCTGAAATTCCAGATATGTTAGGCCCTGGAAATGTCAACGGATGATTGAGGAAGATACGCACACATGCAGAAAAGGAAAATAGAGTTCAGAGCCCACGTACTGACAAACACATACCCGACTGATCATTCATTCGACAAGCATATCCAGTTCAGTTCGAAAGTTGAGGCTCAAACTATACCCACAATGACTGTGGCTTTGCCCTTTTTACCCAATAGATAGCCAATCGGATATAGCAACTACCATTCTTTTCTTGTAACACAGAGGTTGACCACCTACTGTATTTCTCCAAGACTGCTGTTGACAACCAAAGATCTCGTCCAGCCATTGTGCCACGGTGTCAAAAATGCATCCTGCCGGACAGCTCTCAAGCCTGGAGTGGCACGATAGGAACTTCATGGTGGTGAAAAAACGTTCCAACGATATGCATCAACTGACAAAGGACACCCAGACGAGCTTCAGTCACCTCTGCTCACCCACAATAGCGGTTACTGAAAATGTGAAAACTTCAGACTCACACAACAGGACTCCCCTGAAGATTGTACCTCTGAAAATGGGGAGCAAACATTCAGAAGGCTGTCACACTCCGACTCACTTGTGTTCTGAGTTGAAAGATTTGACCTAAACCCACTATTGTAGTTACAAACAGTGCTACTGAAAGAAATCCCATTGCGTGGTGGTGTGGTGGTGAGTCAAGTCTGTGCTAGTTGACACCCCAGCCCCAGGTCTAGGGCTGCACAAGGCCAGGTGACGTGGCATGATCAGCATTCACTCCCTCCATGGGACTTCATTGACTGGGAGCTGCTCTGTACTAAATCGTATGAACAGATGCAGGGCAGTTCTACACTACTGCCCTGATGCTTCGTTGTGTGTACATATCGGATCAATACATTCAGCTGTTGAGAGTTTGAGAGGAGTTCAGACACCCCAGCTCCAATACAGCCACTTGCTAGCAACAGTGAATCGCAATTAGCATGCCAAGAGGATTGTGCCAGTCTTTCAAGTATCTTCCAACTCATCATTCTATGCCAATGGGCAGGAAGTGCAACACCACTACTAGTATAGTATTCCCAACTCCTGACACGTGACACCCTCCACTACAAGGATGATTCATGACGGCCCAGTACACAATACAGCCTGAATATAGCTTTGACATCCTTCTGGTTATTTGTTCCAGAGCCGCCCATAATTGCCCAGGCTGAAGAAAACACATAAATTTACCTCCTTTCATGATAAATGGAAGATAGGAATACATGCATTGCTAACTCCTTACACCATCAGTGGTCAAACAAATACAACCACACACATACTCACAACAGTCATCAGCACTATCACAAGACACTAAGACGGTAAAGATCTACACACAGGCATTCAGTCAGTACAAGGCAAGGGGGGGACCAGGCGTAACTGTGTGTGAGGGTAGGCACAAACAGAATTTAATATTCTGTTCTGCAAACACCCAGTATCCAACAGTGTAACGTCTGAATACTCCATCCCACAAAGCCACATCCGACACAACATGTGTCCATAGTGTAGGTATGCTCTGCCTACTAGTAACTAGCCCTTTGTGGCAGTACAATACTGGTGCCGGAAGTAGAATACTGCGGGTCAAGGTAGGGTGCTCAATATTTCAATATTGAATGTGACATATCAAGCATGACGAGTGGTCGAGAGTGTACATTCTGCTGTACAAGTGGCCTCTACCCGGGTTTGAGATGTCCCCTAGTAAAACAAATACAAAATAAACTACCAAAACTCTATGCGTTCCGATAGAGAAGTACTGTGCCCACGGATAACGAGGTGCGACCTGGTAATGCACACAACTACTTTGTTTGAGGCAATTCACAGTTCACACACCGACGTCCATGGCATGTTTCAACTAGCAAGCACAGGAGGAGATTGGGAAACATTTGATGAATGCGGCCTGAGGATGAAACAAAACCCATCTCACCTACATAACCCACAGATTGGCTGGATGGGGGGGGGGGGGGAGAGACTGTTGAGCGTTGGCTTGGTGACCATGAGATCATGTGGCCCAGGGCATTACCTACGATTGGTCATAGTGAACAATGCTGGCCCTGAAGTGATGGTTTACACCCTGCGCCGGCCATAGACGTGGCAAAGACTACATTCAAACGTCAAGCCTGTGTCACAATGCATCCGAACACATTTCGCAATGAATTCTGGCATTCCCATATCTTCCCCATCCGATTTACATGTTCAGACTACACACTCCAAATGTGAACTAGATGGTTTCTTCCTAGTCTGACAGCACCTCCAGAGAGCAGCTAGGATGATTACCAGGAGGTTCGAACTACAGTATTGTAAGTCCTGAGAGACCATTACTTCCAGTGCCCAAGGAAACGTTACGTATTAATCATTACGTATCATCCACTGAAAATTGAAAGACAACAAGTCCAAAAGCGGACCGGAGAGTTGCTTTTTACCATCCAATATGAAAGTCACGGTACATAGTAATGGTGCTGATGGCCATGTCACACGCACGCATGCATGCACGCACACACCTCACACTCACACACACACACTCTTGAACACGGATACACGGATACACAGAGCAGGTGGTTCACGCCTGGAACTCCAGCACAAGCTAAGTCCAAAACTTACATTTTTGCAGTACTTTACAGAGGGAGTAGTGACAGCAGAGGTAGCAGTAGAGATTGTCACGATCATTTTCGAGTGCACAAATGATAACCACCGTACACAATGCAGAGACAATAGGCAACCAGAACAGATACAAATACGAACGGATGCAAACCGGACACCACACGCCACACGATGAACACTAAATACAAGTACAGAGATGCACACGGAGAACAGATAGACGACCAGATGAGCATGGAGAGGTAGAACAATGATGATTATGTCAACCCTGGTCCCATGTGTGGTATTAGAGAGTACTACTACAGTCAGACCTCGCTTAACCGCACACATCCGTTTTCCACAAAAATATCCGGATAGGCGAGGGAACCGGATAATCGAACACACATACTGTATGTAAGAATGGCATATGCTGTAAATTGGTAACCAACGATTTTCTTCCGGATGGCGAGGGATCCGGATAAACGAGGACCGGATAAACGAGGTCTGACTGTACTAGTACCCCAACAGTGACACTACTCTATTCCGACGGTCTGCCATACATACTGCTATAACTTGTCAGTGCTTTTAGCATGTTTCTACTGACATACATCCTGATGCACGTTTGGGGCAAATGGGCGCAAGCTTAAACCACCCCTGCTACTGCACGGGGCTGGGTCCTTCTTAGGTCGACAGGGTTCCAGCCATGTCAAAATAGTAGGTGTGTGTGTGTGGGGGGGGGGGGGGGGACATGGGAGACAGTTACCCTGTAACCCATTTTTTTCCATTTTCCAAAATTGTCTTGCCATGCACAGTGCAATGTACGGGGCAACCCCCCCGACTTCACCCCAGACAAAAATGTGCCTTTATGAAACCTCTAGTAGTAGTAGTAGTGACCACCGACTCTGACTACATTTTCACTGCTCTGGTGTGGGTGTGGTTCCAAAGAAGAACGGCAAACTGCGCCTTATTCACCACCTCTCCAGTCCTGTTGGCAATAGCATCTCGCGACAAAAGAGTGGGGTGGGGGGGGGGGCACTTTTGTCACAGGAGGGTGTTCAATCAGAGTAGGAGGGCTCTGTGCCCCCCCCCCCCTTCTTTGGCTAGAACCCTGGTCGAAATATGCTTCTAAGGAAGTCAGATGAAACTGTACCGTACTTCCCCGTTTATAAGTCGCACTCGTTTATAAGTCGCACTCGTTTATAAGTCGCACTCGTTTATAAGTCGCACTCGTTTATAAGTCGCACTCGTTTATAAGTCGCACTCGTTTATAAGTCATACTCGATTATAAGTCGCACCCCTACTGTCAGGTTTGAGCAATATTGATTTGATAATTATATTGACTTCAGTAGTATGTCACGCTCGATTGTAAGTCGCACCTCCTTTTTTACCCTCGAATTTTAGTGTAAAAAGGTGCGACTTATATTCAGGGAAACACGGTAAGAAAATCAGGATCTGCGGCCTAGCTGGGGAGTAACTGTGGGTGATCACCTCACAAGCTGATCCAGAGCTCTCTGCCTGTGATACAGTCAGTGCAGGACGTTGCTAGCACCCATGAAGGTCCCAAACAAACGCTGGCTTTTCCAACGTCGCACACAGGAAATTACATACGTCGTTCTAAGTGCAGGAAATAGGCACACACTAGTGTATGCACTGGTATAACTCATTGGTTTGAGGAAAATATGCAAACGGGAAAGTCTGAAGAAAAATTTGACTGTCACCACTGTCACTAGCCAGTCATGTAGTAGTATACCTGTGTGGGTAATACATGTATCCTATGTTTGAGCAGACCTCCCTCTGAATATATGTAGGACTCAGTATAGAGTCCATGCACTATATGATGTCCAGCACCCTATATAGAGTCCATTGGTCCAAAATCCACTATACAGAGTCCAGGAGTCCACTCAGTTTTGATCAGCTTCATCCTGCCGCGCAATCCCCTATAAGGAGTACACTTTTTCTACAAGTCCCCTATTCACGGTCCAGGAGTCCAGTTTATCCAGTCACGCCGTCCTGTGTGTTGTGCCCCGAAAGAGAACACATTTTTAAAAAAAATTCAGTTTTGCTTGCCTCGTGGCAGCGCATTCCTTTCTTCACTTCAGCCGGCCCATGGCTGCCAATTCTGCTGTGCAGTTGCTGACAGTAATCTGTCTCGAGCTAACCAAGGAGGATAAGGAGACGTTCAAAATCAAATCTGGAAAGCGTCTTGTGGTTCTCTGAAGACGTTTCATCAGTGCGCGGGATGAAAGCAGAAATTGCAGAACGAGAAAAGTTCAGCACAGTTCAAATCTGACGAGTCAGGTACACTGACGCTCTCTTTCGTTCGACGCCACAAGGATCCCCTGTTTGGCTGGCCATTGCTGCCAGTAAGACGTTTGAACGGTTTCATCAGAGCGAGGGATGAAAGCAGAAAGCGGAGAAAGAGAAAA